GCCGTGCGTCGGCCTTGAATTTGATTTCGAGCCCCTTCATAGTTCGATTGCATTTTTTTCCTCATTCCAGTGTCCTTCAGCATCATGGACAACGAGTGTACATATATGGAATAATAAACAGCCTCTGCGGAATGCACCTCCATAGCTGGATCAGCCTTGGCCTCTACCGTCTCGATTTGGTCTCTGTTCCAAAATATAACCTTTTGGTGCAATATCGAAGGGACGCACTGGGTAGTGTGGATTCAATCCCTCCTAAGAATGGCTGAATAAGTTGGTTTTCCTTTTCTGACGAAGAAAGCCATCTGGTCCGTCCTTGTTCTGACCGTCAATTTCTCCACCAACACGCATGCTGCAGTATGCGCATTTTTGGTGAAGTCGGTCATTCGCATGATTGTCGGGACGAGATCTTTTCTATTTTTATTGATTTTTCTTAGAGTAGACAAGGTCATAACATTGACGGAAGCTTCTCGATCGACTAGGACCTTGCTGATCGTCCGCCCATCAAGATGTATTGTGAGGAATAAGGGTTTCAAGTTGCACGTATTTTAATCCGCCAACTTCTGAAAAATTACTGGTTCCGGACCTTTTTTCGGAATGTCGAAATCCTACTCCATCCAATATAATGGACCGGCTCCTTCCAACATCACATCCCTCTGAAGATATTCTGGTTGGACTTGAGGAGCTTCGAATTCCCGATGTAGCACCCCTATTATATTGACCTTGAGATCTTCTTCACAGTGCAAAGCTTGTTCGAGGTCGGACACAATAATGTCCAAGCTAGCCTCCGTCACCTCATTGCAATCGAGGGCACCGATCATCGGCTTACCTTCCAGAATCTGGTCTTCCCCAAGTGTCACAGTAAAGTGAGGTTCGTTAGGGTGTTTAACCCTTGCAAGAACTCCTTTTGGCCTTCATTCATTTCGGGCCTGAAGCTGGTGACGAAGGTCCTTTTGACTAATCTTCGGCCTTCCAGCGACAGCTCCTTTTGAGCCCTGGGCCTGCTGCCCTCCTGCCCGACCTTCGCGGTCATTAGCCTGCTGCCCCCCAGCCTAGTTCTCTTGGGAAAGGCGAGCGGCCAAGCGTTGTTGCTGCATCTTCCTTTTTTCAGTCATAGTAGAATGTTGCATCACCTGCTCCTTTCGGTTTCTTGTCCAGCTCTTGTTGTTTGGAGCCTTCCTGGAATGGCGGGTCTGATGGGGTGTGACTACCACCTGATCTATGGAGTTTACTCGCCAAACCTCGCATCCTTTTTCAAAGCTTACTTCCGTGATCGTATTTGTGTGGGAAAGTCTATCCCACACTAAAATTCTTCTCAGAGGTTTGATCGACTTTACAAGCCTTTTAAACACTGGCTTTCGAGGGCCTGTTCTCCTACCATCTGCTCTAAACCCCGAATTTGTCTTTCTGGACCTGGCTGAACGTACTCCGACAACGTTTATCAGCATAGAAAACGGCTCCATCTCTATTTTCATGTCAGGTTTTTCGGCCAATTTGAGGCGGTCTTCTTTGATGGCTTTCTGGACTGTATTTCGGAAGAAAATGCAGTTCCCGATCTGATGGTCGTATACTCCATGCCACATACAAAATAATTTTCCATTCAACTTCTCTTCCGTCGGTATTTTGTAATCTTCTTTAAGGCGGAGCTGGTTGTCTTTCAGCAAGCAGTAAAAAATCCATTCCGTCTTCGCGATCTCAAATGAGTAAGATACCTTCGGATTCACCTCATTCCGTCTAGGCGGCTTAAGAGCCGGACATGTATATGCCTTCCCCTGTGAAATTTCAGTCAGGAAGGTCTCCTTTTGCTCCTCGTCGACTTCGGCAGCCCCTTCTTGGGCAAAAAAACAATGATTTCCACTCCGAAACTTCTAATTTCGGGCCGTTTGAGCTTCTTTCAAGTGTTGTTTGGCCTTCACAGCTTTGGACATTGGTTGCCGAAAGTCAAGACACTCCTAGAGAGCTAGGCTGTCACGCAGCTGGTGCGTTATGTTATTTATTGCCACATTCACCACCTGGTGCTCTGGTACACAAACTTGGCATATAGTTTCTGCGCTCCTAAATTATTTCAAGAACTGCTCGACCGAATCCTTGCTTTGCCGATCGCCATATATCCTATGAATCGCATCTTTGATTACCTGTGGATTTTTGATGGGATGTGGCAGCGGTACCATCTTTGCTTGCCCCCCAGGCTGTTCGGAAGCTGCCTGAAAGGATGGCGAATTGTGTAACGCCGGCTGCGGGAAGGCTTGATGAATAGGTCCCCGTTGTGGGAAATGAATTTGGGGGCCTTCGGTAGGTTCTCTAAGGACTGGAACCTATTGCAATGGTGTATTTCCAGGGGCTAGTTGGGCAGGATATTCGTAGGTTTGTTGCAGCCCGGAACCAGCAGCAAATCGACCTTCTCCAGCAGCTCCCTGCCCCGCAGTGTATCGGGATGGTGTTAAAATTGGTCCCCCTGGTTCCCAAGTCATTCCAGAAGACTTTGGGACCAAGAAAGGTGCCGGTATCCCTGTCGGCCCTGCCCCCCATGTATTGAAAGTCTCTTATCCGGCCATCGAGTTTCTTCGAAGGCCTGGAGTGAGGACTATGGTGCTGAAAGTATTTCCAACAAATAGGGGATTATTTTGCCCATGTGGTGCTGCGGGACTAACCCGAAGGTCATCCAAAATCCGTCGGTTGAAGGCAGCCCAAAGAAAGCCTGCCCAACCGACGCCCGAGATTCTTCGACCTTCTGGATGGTGATCGGAGGTTCTCCAGATCCGGCACTCCTACCGAACAAAGTAATTTGGCCATATTTAAGTGCCTGGGAGGTCAGATCTGCTGCGAAACTGGTTGTAAGGCCTGCGGGAGGCCAAATATCTGGCTAGCTGAAATCGACCTTCCGGACCTTGCTTTTTCGAATTTCTTCCTCCGAAAGCAGTGCAAACTCGTTCCGAATAGCGGGTTTCAGAACGTCGCTAACGTATTTCAATAGTTCTTGAGTGGATCCGTGAAGGGACGACCAAATTTCACCATGGATCTGCTCCTGAATGACGCTGGCTGGAAGACTAATGTTATGGTCTGGTCTTCCAGCAAAAGCGGAAGCCTCGTCGCGTGGAGCAGCTTCCTGCGCAGGGCGCGATGACAAATCGCCGACGATTTTTTTTTTTTAAACATTTCTGCAGTTATCGGCAGCATCAATTTTCTCTCGAATTTGCATGTAAAATTCGCAAGACAACGGTGTCCCACTGGGCGTGCCAATCTATTGTCGTAAAAAAATCGTCACTGACGGCTTAATTGGAAAAGTCTGTCGGAATTGATTTGTTTGAAGGATTCCCCAGCCTCCTCAAGAAAGGATCCAGGCTATCTCGCGATATCCAAATAATTAGCATAAAAAGAAGGTAAAATTATGGCTAATAAAACAAGAACGGAGTTGGAAAAAGAAACTGGAATTAATGAAAAGAAAGCTGTAAAAAAATCTAGAAAAAAATACAGAGAAAATAATGCAGAGAAAAATAAAAAATTGAAGAAGAAGATGATGATTATGGTAAATGGTGTCCTCTTTTCTGTTCTGATATGCTCTATTTATTTGTTTATTTTAAATCATGTTTGGATAAGATTTATCTCTAATTATTCTCAACAACTCCAACCACCTTCACTTCCACCTTCTTTCATCCGTTGACTGCTCTAAATGCACCAGGCCGACTGGGTCCTTGGGCTAGTCTGGTCCGCAGGCCCACTCATTAATCTGAACATTTTGCTAGGCCGCAAATCTCGAGGATTTGGGTTTCACTTGCATTGGGTCGGCTCAATTAATTTTGGGTTGTGTACAATCGTATCAAACAAATATTCAAATTCAACTTTTTTACTATTAAAAAATCCAAACCCAAAAATAAGACGGACAAACAAACACACCCAAGCACTGCACCGGCACCCTAGCATCCACTTTTTTTTTCTTCTTCGTGATTATTAAGGGAGTGTAAAAATTTTTTGAAAAACTTTTAACTTATTAAACAATTTTTAGCTGTTTGACCAGTAAAAAAACTAATTTACATGTTTAATAATTAGGTTTTTGAAAGAGTTTTTTAAACTCAAAAAGTTAATTTCTAAAAAGGTAATCTGCCTAACGTTTTGGAAGAGTTTATTCACTTTAATTATACTTATTCCTTATTTACCGTTAAAAATAATTTATTTATTTCACATATATAATAAGTATATCTTTGTTACAATATTTATTAATTGATTTTAATATATTTTATTTACTAAATTATAACTTTATTTTTGCAAATTTAAAATAATTACTATTATTAATTATTACATATAAATTATTTTATTTGTAAAATGTATAAATTTATTAAAATTAAATCAAATAAAAAAAAGATAAATATTATTAATATATATATATTTATTATATAAAATTTAGATTAAAAATAATAAATCGAATAAATTAATAAACAATAATTAACATAATAAAAATATATACAAAAGATTTACCCTCTTATATTTTATACAATTTCAATAAAATTTTATTATTATTTTTTAATAAAAGTATTTTTCTAAAATATAAAAAATAAAAATAAATATTTTATAATATTTTTATATTTGCAATAATTTATAAAAAAATATTTTTTAAAAATGTTAAATCAAAATGAACAAAATAAATAATTTAAAAAATATCATATAAATATTTTTAATTGTTATTTTAAATATAAACAAAATAATTATTTTATCAAATATTTTAATACAAACGGTTAATTAAATCACCTGTTCAAAGAAACTGATTAGCTATACGCTATTAGAATCACCTTCCCTAAATATTAGTATTATAAAGTAATTTTTGCCGTAATGATTCACAATCCACAGCGGCCAGACTCCACGCCGCACCCGCACCCGCACGGAAAAATAAATAGATAAATAAAAATATATAATGGCGGCGGTTCGCGGTTTGGAAAAATCACAAACCGAACCGAATGACGATTTGTGTCCGGTTCGCTTCGAACCGTAACCGCCGTTGGGCGAGTTGTGTAATTTTCAATCTTCACTTATGCCCTTAAAAAGTTGTTGTGTAACCTCTGTGCAGCCGCGCCGCAGGACATCTTCTATTCGTTTCCTTCTTCTCTGTACGCAGGTATGTTCAATTTATTTATTTATTTATTTTTGAAGAGGGGCGGTTCAATGATTGGAATCGAAATCCAGCAGTGAAAAAGTTAGGTTTTGGTTCCGGTGTGCATCAAGCTTGAAATCCATCGAGGTTTGGCAGAAAATCGGCAGGGATGGATCGTGGACTGACGGCGGAAGCGGCAGCGCACCTGCAGGACGGAATTAACTTGTTGCTATCTCGATGGACAGCCCTCCGGATGACCGTGGAGAACGAGTGGGGCGGCCGAGATTCGTCACAGAAGGCTCAGCAGCTCGGCCAACAATTATGCTATCTCCTTACCCAATCCAAAGGTATGAATCGGATGTTCTTTTGATAGCACGAGTTGTGTATTTTGTTGTAGTGGACGAATTTGAATGTTTGCCTGGAAAAATTTTAGCTTAATCGCATGAAACGCAAACCGCTATTTGGAATCCTTCTATAGCTTTTGATTTGATATCTCCTTTTAAGTTCAATGTATTTAGTATGCGAGTTTTGATGCAATCGAATTTAATTTCCAGTGCTATTGAATTCTGTCTTTCTTTCTCTATATTTCAATCCGTCCTCAATTTGTTTAAGCTTGTTTGTGCTAAAAATTTTGATATATCCTAAACATGTGTTCTCAATTTGTACTATTTTTTGGGGGTTAGAGCAAGTATACATTGAAGATTTGGAGGATTTGCTTGAAGACTCCATTCTTTCTCTCAACACCGTGATAGATGACGGCAGCATTGAGGAGGTATGACCTATCAGATTATCAAATTATTAATATGGATTATGTTTGTTCTTCATTCTGTATATCACATATTTCACGAAACAACAATCAACCAGTTTTTCTAAATCTTATATGAATCTGATGTGTACAAATTTCGAAATAGTGCGACTCTTAATAGTGTATAATTTAGAAAAATTTTGAATTAGTAATGCAATCCTGAAGGATGTTCTGTGTTAGTGTGATAACTGATTTGTATGTACTTCAGGATTTAGTGTTTGTTTTTGTTTATAGATTGAAATTTGAAGCCAAGGCATACTGCTGCTTAGTATTTTAGTTTTGTATGAATGTGGAAGCTTGTCGTAGAGATATTTATTATTTTGTGTGCCTAAAGCTAGATACTGAGTAAATATTTCTGTGTGCTGCATACTTCTGTCATGTATACTCGGGCATATCTTATGCTAAGCTTAAGCAACTAACAAATTGTATCAGCTAACCTAAACTTAAGAAACTTATGATTTGTATTGACAAACCTTTGCCACACTGTGCCTTTATGTACTCGGGAGTGCCCTATATTAAGCTTAAGCAACTGAATTTTATAGTAAACATTTGCCACATTGTGCCTTTATATACTCGGGAGCATCTTATATTAAGATTAAGCAACGGAGGAATTGTATCATAAAACATTTGCCACATTGTGCTTTTATATACTCTTGAGAATAACCTATACTAAGTTTAAGCAATTAACGTGTGTTTGTTTGAGGGTTTGGATTTTGAGTTTGGATTTGAATAGTAAAAATTTTGAATTTGAATAATTGTATGATATGATATAAATAGGTGTTGATGTGATGTTTTGAATGTAAAATTGATTTTTAGTATAATATAAAAAATGAAAAATAGGTATTTGATTTGATGTTTTTGGGGAAAAATAATGAGATGAATAGTGTATTTAAAATCCAATCCCCCAAACAAACACACCCGAAGTGTATTGGCAAACATTTGTTGCACTTGTGCATATTGTATGCTAAATGCAGCCCATAGATTATATTTGCGAATCGTTGTCATACTGTGCTCTTATATTTTGTTGGTATTACCTAAAAGCTGATGGATATACAATTTGGCGTACGGTTTCTTTCGGAACATTTTACTGAGAGCATTATTCATCTGGCTTGTTGAATACCATGGGAATTAAAGTTGTGCATTTGTATTTCTATTTTCCGATCATCTTACTATTATTATTATTTTTTCGCTGATTTCATTCGATCTTACAAATTCCTGTCATACTAGGTGGCAGAAAAGTTGTTGGTGATGCATGAAGAATGTGTACAAGGTAATTTTGACTCGATTGAAAAATTGAAGGGATCCAGTGCCCCGAGTCTGATTTATGTCAAACAGGTACAAATGACTATATTGTGCTAGAATTTGTATCCGAAGATTGTTGAACACTTCCATAACTAATGATCAGCTGTACATATTGTCTACTAGTTTTATTCAACTTCCCTATTGAGATCCGAGACCAAGTTATCCAATGGTTGAAAATTTCTACATTTATACAATACCATAATATGAAAACTGTTCAAACGTTTTCGTCAGACGGGATTAGATAGAACCACTATTTATATATGCTTGGAACTCTCCAGTTTTCTATTCGGACATGATGTTTAGAATGAAAAATAAGTTTTGGATGTTTGTTGTGAATAAACATCTGTATTTGGTGTGAATCTTTTTATTGTAGATTGAATACAGAACATGTTTGTATGCATTAATTAAGTCGGGTGGGTTTTTATTATGTTGGCGATATTTCAGCCCGGGAATGATGATGAAGAGAGTGAAGATGATGAAGTCAACATTAACCGGCCTTCCGATATGGAAGTTGACGTTCCCCAGTCCAACACGGAGGCCACAACCAGTGGTGATAGCGGCAGACAAGCAACCGAAGTTGTAGATGGATGGACCGTTGTATCTTCCCGGCGCAATCGGAGTCGAAGAAACTAGGGTTGAAGAGATTTTGTTACTTCCCGGACCCTGTCTTGGTAAAGATTACTAAATTTTACAGCCTTCGCTTCCCTTGTATTATGAATTTTGAGGTTTTAATAGTTTTGAGACTTGGTGTGTAATTAAATGAAATATTAAATTATTAATTGAATTTTGACACAGTGTATTTGTTTGGGGGGTTTGGATTTTTTGTACTGTTAATTGAATAACAAAAATTTTGAATGTTTGGGGGTTTGGATTCTTTTATTGTGACTTGAATAATAAAAATTATTTTGAGTATATTTTGATCTTTTTTTTATTTTTTTAGAAAAAATTGGTAAATACTGTTTCCGTCCGGTTCTAAAATTTTATTTATTTTTTTTTTATGTTGATCTTTGATAATAATTATTATATGAAAATTTAATACAAATTAGAAGAAAAAGACGAAAATACTTTTATCAAATCTTTTAGAGGCGGATTAAGAGAGTATATTACAACGAAAGGGGCAGAGCTTTCGCGTAATGGACTTGGTGAAGCTAAAGTGTTGAGGATTTTGTGTTATGGTCGGGCCCCTAAAATGAGCCGGGTTTGGTATAATGGACTGGGTTTGCTAGTCTGGATTAGCCCATATAAAATGGACTGGGTTTATATAAATAAAAATGAGTTGGCTTTTCGATTTTTCATGAAATTTTATTTTATTTTTTTTATTTTTTATTATACACGTCTTTTTATGGAGCTCAAACTTTCAAACTTGAAACATATAGAGAAAGTTCGATCATTTGAGCACGGCGTTTCGGATTTTTAAAACAATATCACCAATGAATATAATAATAAATTCTAAAAAAATAAAAATTATTTTAATAATATATTCAATAAACGGTCACACGAATAAAATATATCATCAATTAAAAATAAATAAAAAATATTGACCATTATAAAAATAATAATCCAATAATAATAATTATTATTATTATTATGAACTCTAAATATATCGTTACAAAATTTATGGCTGGGTGGACGAAGATTAGATTTGCAGTTTAGAGCTTGAAAAAATATTTATTTAGAATTTAAAATTTAATTTTAGAATTAAAATTGAAATGAGTAATTATAAAATATATATATATATATAATAATAAATTTTAAAATTTGATATATCTAATAATATATTAAAATTTTCAAATATAGATACTCTTAAATTTTAGGTCATGAGCAGTTACTCACTCAGCTCCTGCTAAGACCCGCCTATGCATTTGAGTTAGATCATTCGCAATATAGATACCCACTACTTTTAATCATTTCAATTTTTTAAATTAATTTTTATTCTCATATTTATATATGTACATATATTATTTTTTAATTATATTTTTATTTTGTAATTATTATTATTATTTGATGATGTTTGAATAATTAACTATTAATTCAATTTATTTTATTGCTTAATACTCCCTCCGTCTCAAAAGATTTGTCTTGTTTTTTCATTTTCGTCCGTCCCAAAGCAATTGTCTTGTTTCCTTATTTAGTAGTCGTGGTCCCCACTTTATAACAAAATTATTCCTACTTTTTCATACTACCCCTAATTATTACTATAACATACTCTTTAAAATTCTTCGAAAGTAAGGACATTTTAGTCATTTATATTCTACTTTATACCCACTTTCAATTAAATACTATTATTCTTTAATTCCCGTGCCAACTCTCAATAAGACACTTCTCTTGGGACGGAGGGAGTATAATTTTATATATTTAATTGTTAAAAAATATAATTATATTTTATTTCATAAATTAATTTATTTTGTTAATATTGATTTGTTTAACAAAATTAAATAAATATTTATATTTATATAATTTAAAATTTAAATTAATATATTAAATATTGATATCATTTTGTAGAATAAAATTTTTTATGAATTATGAAAATATTAAAAAATTTAAATATAATAACAAATTTAATATATATTACAGCAACTATTTTGTAGACATATAATATATATATATATATCACATGATGTGTCATGTATCACAAATTAATTGGAATATATAGCATAAATGTGAGATCTTCCTAGTTGCCGATGTTTTTGTTTGGGGTTTGGATTTTGACTTGTGATTTGAATAGTAAAAGTTTTGAATTTAAATAGTTGTATGATGTGATATAAATAGGCGTTGATGTGATGTTTTGAATGTAAATTTGATTTTTAATATAATATAAAAAATAAAAAATAGGTGTTTGATTTGATATTTTTTTGGGGGAAAAATGGAATGAACAGTGAAAATTAAATCCAATCCCCCCAAACAAACAGACATGAGCCACTTTTTCTTAAAATCTTTTTAATATCAGTTAATATCGAATAATAATAATAATTACATATAAAAATACAACGTTGTAGAGCAACATCCTACCAAGGAATTTACACTAAATTCAAGCATTAATGTATTGATCATATTTATATCACTATTTGATTGTCATCTATTAATTAGATTAAAGATCAAAAGGGAAAATATGATGATTTATTTTTATTTTATTTTATTTTATTTTTTAAGTTTGATAATTTTGAGATACAATAATGCAATATTTGAAGAGGTTTCGGGTACTTGTGTTATCACCAAAGGTGGTACACTCGGCGATATTCCACCGAAGGAACAGAACAATTTCATCGAAATCGAAAAATTAGATATTTTTATTATTTTAAAAAAATAATAATAAAAAAAAATACGTATTTTGACATATTTGTTCAATATAAAAATATTAGTATAATAAGGATTGATCGAATGAGACCGAAAAACGATAAATATAATCAACAATACAATCGATGTAATGGCTGAGACGACGGTTCGAGGGGGGCTCGAGAACCCCCCAAGCCTCTATGTGGTTCCGCTACTGATGACTATAGGTTGTGGTGTTTGTGTTGCGGATTGGCTCGCCCTGTGGAACATCAACTTTTATATCGAAAAGTCGGTTAATGTTGACTTCATCATCTTCACTCTCTTCATCATCATTCCCGAGCTGAAATATCACCAACATAATAAGAACTCACACGACTTAATTAATGCATACAAACATGTCGTGTATTCAATCTACTATCAAAAGATTCACATCGATCAAAGACTAATATTTATTCTCAATAAATGTCGAAACTTATTTTTCATTTCAAACATCTCATCCCACATATTTGTCATTTAAAATAACCACCAAAATTAGAAGAAATATACAGTTTGTTCACTTAATATTTTTAGATGGACCGATTCCCTATAAATTATATTAAAAAAAAATTACATACATATTAACACAATATATATATATAATATATTTATCTACTCACAAAAAAATTAATAATTTAATATAAAAAATTATTTTTTATATTACCATACAATTATACTTAACATAAAAATACATCCACTAAAAAACATAAAATGAACAAATTTGTACTTGTTGAGTATAAAATTTATAATTAGTGTGATGACCCAAAATAATAGGGAAATTGGGCCCATCAGGTGGCCAAGAGTTTTTCTGGGCGGATGGTTCGGAGGCAAGGCGGTCGGTTGCTTAGCCGCCCGTCTTAAGAAGGCAGGACAGTTGTGGGGTAGGGCGGTTGAATTCAATAACTGACAGGAACGGTTGGTAGGGCGGTTAAGGCACGTGTCAGTAGGAGATTAACGCTTGGGGGGAGTTGGCGGCAGTGGTAACCGACCAGGTGACGTTTCTAGACGTTTCTTAGGAGTTATTTAATCATTCAGAGGGGTCAGCGAAGGGAGATCTTCAATCTGACAAAATTTAATTATGAATTTTCTGTTGGGGGTCACCTTTTGTTTTCATGCATTTATTGCTTTGTTTTACATAAAAGTTAATTATTCAAGTTCGATAATATTTTCGAATTTTAGTGTGTGTATTGTTGAAGATATCATATAGCCACTTCTCTATTTAGAAAATTGGAGAGTTCCAAGCAAATAAAAATATTGATTCTATCTAATCCATCTAATAAAACGTGCGCATTAGGACATGGACAATTGAGAATACTCCCGGAAAGTGGGAAAAAAAAAAAATCCGTTATTTAACATTTTATTATATTAAGTTGTTTTATTTAAAATATGTAAAAAGTTGTGATGAGTTCTTTTTACTTTTACTTTTTTTTTTTAATTTTTTATTGTCATTTAAATTTATTATCGTTTCATTATTAGTAAAGAAATATCGTATTTTCTATTTTTGTTATCTTTAATTTTTAATTCAAAATATCATTTCTACTATTTTTGTCCGTCCCATTTCAAAGTATTCATTTTTATTTTAGTAAAAATAATTATATACTGATACCAAAATACCTTCAATTTTTATCTAAATTACGTACCATTACACATGTAATTATTTTTCATATAAAGTTAAATGGTAAAAATGTTTAAATTTCTTATGACTAATAAAATACTATTATTTCTTAATCTACTACAAAACCCAAATGATCCATTAGCACACAATAATGACGGATGAAGTTCTAAAATAAAAAAAGGGGCTGATTAAATGACTAACCATTTGTTCTTATTTCCAATAATTCAAGCTATAATTTCTTGATTGGTTTTTTTTTTTTTTTTTTATTTCAAATAATTTATTTTGTAAACAGAACTTTTGAGTTGGGTTATCATAATAAAAAATAATCTATGTATTATCCAATTTTAGAATATATTTATTTTTTCAATTTAGTTGAATGTGCAATTATATTTACTTTTAAAAACAAAATATGTAATATTAGGTATTCATTAACGTAGGGTTAAGTAACAAAAATAACTACACAAAATATATATAGATATTACTTTTCAAATAAGAATTATTTTAAAAGAAAATAATATTACTGTTCAAAATATATATAGATATTATGTGAATATAAAGAAAACTGACGTAACAAGTAATTTAGAACAAACACAACCGTATAGCTATAACACGGGGGTATTTATTGTTTCAATTCAATAATATACTCCATTTGTTCCATATTTATATATTCATTTGGTTTTTGCACGAAATTTTAAAAATATTGTAGAAATAAAAATAAAAAGACTAAATTAATATTAGTATTATATTAGTATTGTATGATATAAATGTAATGATATTTGTGTAATATATTGTAAATTGGAAAGACATTTTTAATATTAGATAGATAGTACAATTACTTAAAAAAAAATAATACTTTTTTATAGAAAATATAAAATAAAAAAATAAATAGATTGTAAAGAGAGAAAGCAGAAATAATGTAATCAACTGTTCA